TGTTCATAAGAATATATATTTGTCTCTGTATTTCTATCGATTATAGTCTTCGCTATTTAAAGCTCCTAAAAATTAATTTCAATAATTTTAATTAATGAAGGCCTTTGTTTTGTCTTTTCTCTCTTCGTTTAAATTCTTGTTGTCCTACAATGTACATCTATGAGATGCTGGTACAGTTAATTCCATCATTGCATTTTCGTCGGTAACATCGCTGTTCGGTAGACGATGAATGGCCCTTTATCCGCTCTGGGACATATCGTTTCTCGAATTGTATGTCGCTGAACGACACCACGTGTCACCATGATCTCGTGATTATCGACCGCATCGCGTCTCACACAACCTCAGTTACCTACACGATCAAATAATTAAGAATTTTTTTTAAGACACAGGTGGATCTCAGTTAATTTGTACGTATTAAAATATTTAGAGCATCAGAGAAGTTTTACGTAGACTATAAAATCACAGACTTTTGCATAATGAATAAGGGAAACAACCAGTTAGAATTCTTTATTTCCCTTTGATCGATTGATCCTATTATGTTTTATGCCTTATTCGTTATGCAAAATTCTGTGCTGCAGCCTTTAAAAACAAAATTCTCACACAAATTCTTTGTCCAAAATCCAAATGTCATTCGGTCAAATTTAATTAGCTATCAATGGTATACCGAGACACAAAGAGTGACTTGTGAATCTCTCAAGCGTCATTTTTATAAAACATCAAAGTTTGCAGAGATGCGAAAATTCAAGGGTCAGATATTCAGCGACACGTTGTAGGGCCCGGATATCGGCGGTGACCGGAAGCCGCGGGACGATTTCTTTGTACCTAAAATCGGAAATCACAGGGGCGTAAATTTTAATATCATTCGCGTAGGGATGAGAAAGAAACACCTCTCGGTGCGAGAATTTCCTACTGTCGGATTCTTCGCGACATATGGAGAAAACCATATAGCACGCTTCGGTAAATCTTAATATATCGTCGAACGCGTGTCCCTTTTATGCCTTCGCGGTATTTCGTCTCAAAATCCGCGATAATGCTACGTCGACCGCGCGAGGTGAACGCGATTTTACGCTGGACGAATCGCGATTTTATTATAGAATCTGCAAGGGGAGGAACCGAGTATTTTTCAAATCTTTATGGTAATACCGTGTGTGAAATATCGAAAACATAAAACATAAAAAATACATTCTATGTATATATAACTATAGATAAATATATTTCGGTTGCAACGCGAGTATTTTATTTATTTATCGTCTAAATATTCTTTTTGTAATGTAAATTAAGCGTAAAATCGCTGGATTTAAGAAGATCAAAGTTATCTTAGTTACTTTAAACTCTTAGCTTTAACGCAAATTGTTGAATTAAAAGGAAAAAGAAAGATAAAAAATTACCTCGGATAAAAATTCCACGCGGGCGATCCTGATTGGAATCGTCGCCGAGTCAAAAAAGGTTTATACATTTCCAGTTCTGAAAACACGAGGGTTAAGGTCATTAATGATAAAACGGGATGGCGACGATGGAGGTGATGGCTGGCGGAGCACACAGATAACCGTTTCGTAATTCGTTAACGCGCTCGCGAAGTCTAACCATCAGGTGCGGCGCGAAATATAATAATTTTAATTTGTACCTTGTACACGCCTCAACCTTCTTTCCCCCCCTCTCATTTTATATGCCTGCCTAATGACGTTCGTCGTTGCACTTAATAATTATTCGACGGAGCACCGTGATCACTAACATATAATTAAAAGAAAGTGAACGCGCGAATTATCAGAATGACGATACATATCTTCTCCTTTTCCATGAAAAGATGAGCTTCGTTAAATCTTAATTCTAATCAATCCCGATTTCCGCAATATAATAGTAAAATTGTCTGTATCGATTTTACATCATGTACATTTTTGCGAGTATATTCAAAATCCCAATTTCTGGCAATTTTTAGAAAATCGCAATTCTTAGAAATTCAGTGAATTTTTTAAAATTAAGAAAATTCTTATGTGTATGAAAGTTTAGATAGTGCAATCTTCTTGTCAATCCTGATACCGATGTGTAGGTTTTTCAAAAAAACTACAGGTTTGTGATTAGAAATAGAGATCCCAAGAACTTTCTCGGAACCACGATTTTTGAAAATTTCAAATTGAAATTTTAGATAATGCTACACCTTGTCGATTACGTTCTCCTGATTCTTTATTAATTTTCCAAGAATTTCAGTTTTCCCGAAACTTAAAATTACAATAATTTTCAGAATTCTCTTAGAAGTTTCAGAAACTTTTTAAAATTTTAGATAGTGCAACTTTCTTGGCAATTATATTCTTTTTCGAATTTAAAATTATAGGAATCTTCGTAATTCTTTGAAGTTTTGGAAAATTCTGGGAATTGTAGATAGAACTTCTTTTTTTAATTACATATTTATGTATATATATTAAATTGTTATAAAATTCTGTGCACATTAAATTATTAACACACATTTATCGAAGTTCTTAGCTTCTCTCTTTCTGTTTGTGTTGAATTTGAAGTAGTGAGTTACTTTATCCTACGCAGAGAAAAACGAACGCTTCCATATCTACTATCTGCAAACAATCGGCAAGATAGATTTGTCGGTGGACTTTAAATTGGTGTCACTGTCACTATAGGTGGCGGCACCACCTTGACACAACAATGAGACTCGAATATTTCGAGCTGTACGTTACGATTTCGAAAGATCTCTACGATCGATACTAATATCGACGCTTTTCGACGGATCGAATGCGGATTCATTCGTTCCGACGACCGACGACAGGTGAAGGGGGTGGGGGCGAAAAGTACAAGAAAAGAAATGCAATTCGGCGATGTGCGTCGTCAACGGCGATTGTGTCGTAAGGCTTACTTTGCCATTACGAGGAGGAGATTTCGCCGAACAAATCGAAAGCGTCTATTCGCTCAACATTTGAGAATGAACTCGGAGAGATCGTCAAACAATGAGGAGATGTCTGCAGTAGAACCGATACGGTTGGGAAAGCTTCTTAAGTTAATACCTCGTGGTTGCTGACAAACATTTTCTTTCCCTTTCATCAGGGGATATCGCGTTCGACCAGTCCACCTTCCCCTCGTTCAGAAGAGGTATAACTGCAAACAAATTGAGGAATTCGCTGATTATTATATTTGAAAGCATGCGAATGGCGTAGGTGCGTCAGAACGTTCGAGCTCTGTCTCTGTTGTTACAATTCGTTGATTAGCCTATTTTTTCTTTACATTAAGAAAGAAAACAAAGTCTAAACAGACTAAAGAAAAAAAACATTCGCAAAATGAAGAAGTTATCTAGATGCAGAAGAATTTAGATTTTTAGCAGCAATAAATTCTTTGGCTGTAGTTATACAACAATAGAATAGAGGCATATCCTTAAAATTGAGATATTCTTCCATGATTTTTTCTAGGCTATAATTTGTGGTTGAAATGTGTTTCTAATCAATTCTGTAAAAATCTTTGGTGTCAGAAATATATATGCAAACTAGAGGTCTTGATTCATCTTCAGCGAACAATCCAGAAAATACTTCAGCGAGGCATTCGAAAGTCGACATAGGTCACAAGGAGTCTAGACGCTATCCCTACCCTGCCTATCGCTATATCAGTGTGGCTTCAGTCCTGGTCAGGACGCAGCCTTGGTTCAGTGTACCTCCAGCAGTGCTATCGAAGCCATCGAAAGCATCCTAGACTCATTCTTTATAATATAATAAAGATTTAGCAGTGTTTGTGGTATTGGATCAATTCACGTTTATCAAAATCATAATAGATTTTTGTAGACTTAACTTAAATTTGAGAGTTGTCTGTATTAAATTCACCACCACGATGGTATGTATTCTGATTCTTCTTCTTTTTTGATTCAGGTAAATGTGCAGTGGAGCGAAATGATTGACTATGACAGGTTTTCATTTCATATTTCTGCCTTTGTGTGGGGCAGGATCAAGTTTCGTATTCATTCAAGAGCTATACCTTTTCTTTCAATAGCTCTATGATATGATAGCTTTATGTCAAAAATTATTTCGTTATAAATTGTTTTGAGTTGGTGATACAAGTCGATTACGCTTTGTGCATTTTCATGAATGTGTATAGAGAATTACTTTTTAGGTGTGTAATCAAGATTATGTATGGTGTATGTTTCAAGTTTTTTATGTGGTTTGTGCTACGATGTGTTATATTAGTGTAGTGAAAGCAGTTCTTGTGAATTAATTATGTATACAAGGGGTAATATCTCTTGCTCAAGTGGATAGTTGTACATTTGCTGCTCAGGCTGAAGTATGGCCCTATATGAACCATATTTCAATGCCCTGTCATAACAAAGGAACAGGCCCTAAAGGCATAATAGCCTTTTTCCCTTGATATTGCCTTACCTCATAAACCTATTAATATTTTTCCGCTGTGTTAGAGCTCAATTTCAGTTAATAAAGGGTATTAAACTCGCAATATAGATATAGACATTTTTGGAACTGACAAGCACTTTCAATAGATTGTGTTATAGGTTTTGTCGATCAATACCACACAAATGGTCTGCGCAACAGACCAATAGGGGTTGTGCATATATACATGTACACGCAAAAATTCATCCTTCTGCGCAGCCTGCCAGGAGATGGTCTATAGTTTCTCCGCTATGCTCCACCCTTAAAGTTCCTGACAACAGAAAAACTCCCTTAGCTGCTTAATTGAGAGATATGACTCACCACAGAGCTCGATCGATCCAGCATCCCAGATTTCCTGTCTTTGTTTGCATATACCCACTCCGCTCTTACGCAAAAATATGACTATGTTAAAATCAATAATATTTAGGGAACGTAACTGTTATAAATAAGACTTATTTTTATTTTAATTCCATATATTAAATGAATATGCTCTATATGTCATCTATAAATGAGATATATATCCTGACAGCTATTATTTCTACTTGGATATAATTTATATATTTTAAAAATACAACATATAAAAATGTAACATATTAAATTTATGTTATAAAATTTATTTATTTACTGTTTCAGGTTGGGACTAACCATGTCCACTAAGAGGCATCGCGGGCAAAAGTTAAGCATAGATAATAAAGTAGTACACGAAGGCCGTAATAGATAGAATGAGCGCATTTCGGCAAAACGAAGCGCGTTGCTTCAGTGAAAACTCTCCTAGGCCGCCAGTGCCAGGTAAAATAAAATATTTAAGTAATAGAATAGAAGAAATTATATATTAATGCATACATATAAAGAATCATATCAGACTATCAGCTTACATTTTTTTTTTAGAAATGTGATTGTAGCTCTAAAAATTTATATTCTTTAAAAATGACATTTAAAATAAAATAATTAAAAATCTGTTCAAAATAAATCTTTTTAAAAGTTATAATTGCTTGATTTATATTATAAAGAGAATATACATTGAAAGATATATTGAAATTTATTACAGCGAAAGTTTTCCGTATTCTAGGAGAGGAAATGGTGGTTGCGATGTTTCGGCGCCGTTGGGATTCGAACCGGAGGGTTGTTGCGGAACCACTACCATGGAGAGCAATTCGCCCCCTGCTTACGCACGGTGGGCGAGAAGTCTGCACTCCCTGTTAGAGGATCCGATGGGTTTAGAGCTGTTCAAGAGGTACCTAAGTCAGGAGGGGCATTTGGATCCGCTCAATTTCTGGTTCGCCTGTGAGGGCCTTAAAGAGCAGAAGGACATGGAGAAGATCTCGCAATTGGTGAAGCTCATCTATCGAAGGTTTTTTCTCAAGTCGCAACTAAGCATACCAGAAGATGTAATGAAAGAGGCAGATCGACGGGTTAAGGAGGGTCGTGCTGATCACAAAGTGTTCGACATAGTGCAATTAGAGGTCGAGCGGTTGATCAACGAGACGACTTATCCCAACTTTCTTCAATCTGACGTGTACCTGCAGTACATTCAGTCCTACCAGCATCCTGATTCCGGCGGTTGCCCGAGCTCGAGTTCAGGTAGTCGTGAGATGTCCCTCTCCTGCGGACCGAGTCTGCTGCCCACCGTGCATGAAGACAGCGAGTACATCGGCACTGGTTGTGTACACATGCACAATTCGCACTCGACCGGCGAGACGCCCGGAGAACTGAGATTGACCAAAGATATGCTAATGGTTACCCAACAGAGTAGAGCGATGGATCTACGACCGAGGCCAGAAGCGTACGCCGGGTAATACGCTTTTTATGAAATTATCGAGTCTTATTAAAGTGTAATTCGTCATTTGTATAGTACGCTTCAAATCAGTCCTGCGAATGCCTTAACAATGCTGTATTCTTTTCTTTTGAAGCTTGATGTGATGAAACTTGCATATAATCTGAATTATATTTTAAGTTTACATTTTGTTATTACCAATTTCCGAAGCGATTGACATCGCTAAAAATAGATTATCTCCCTCAATAACGTTTTTGATAGTTTGTCCATATGCAGGATACGCAAAATTTTCTTTTTTGTTTGTTTGATAAATAACCTGATATTTTTATTTGTATTTTATTTAGTTGTTTTTTTTTGTTTTGCTATTTTGCGTGGCACTTATAGCATTTACTTGCAACATGGGGCTAGTCCGTATCACATGCACGTATCCAGATTGCACCCACTATATTCCTCTTACAACCCAGTATCCAGACAGGATTCTGAGCTTCAGAGTTTGAGCAGTGATGCACGTACCGAGGTGGACAATGTGTCCCTCAACGACGGATCCATGTAAGTTGTCTTTATCTTTTTAATTTTACACAGGATTATTTGATTTTGCACATAAAATAGAGAATGGGGGATTTCTCCAACTTTCATCTTGATCGTTTATTATTAAACTAGATTACTGATCCGTATGTATTTGTAACTTATCGCCTACAGCGATAGTATGAGCAGCAGACAGAGAAGCAAGAAGCAATACAGCAAGCAATCTAGTAGGGCAATTAAAGAATCCGCGAATATAAATCGCGAATCCATGGCGCATCATGTTGTCCCACGAACCCAACGTATGGCGTCTCCGAAACAGATGTCGGCGGAGCAATTCGCGGAAATGCTCACACAAAAATTGGAGATCCTGATACAAGAGCAGAAGGCCCATGAGAAACTGGAGAAATATCTGTATCAAGAAAATGACGCATCGATCGGTAGCGATGCGTTAGTAGAACCTTGTGGAGCTTCCAAGACTCTGGGTGATGCGCTGAAGGAAAAGTTGTCCATGGATGAGGACAGTGATCAGGCTATTCTCGATGAGCACGTGTCTCGCGTTTGGTCAGATCAAACACCTTCAAGATCTCCCAGGCTTTCACCCGAGAGAAGGCGCCCCACCCACAATTATCCACGGCCTTACAAGCAGAGGAAAGAGAAAGACATGGACTCCACGTTCTCGGTGGACAGCGGTAATATCCATGACTACCAAGAGGGTAGCGACCTTGTTGGAGCCGGCTCTATGAGTTCACTGGGCTCACACCTTCCCAAATCTAAATCTGTGCCATCAGATTATGGTGATTTCCTTCACAAGCAGGATCTGCATGGTCAAGGTAAATATAATAATGATGAATGACGGCATATGTGCATTATGGACGAATTGTGACTGTCAGTAAAATAAAATGTTGTTTTGCGCAGGTCACGACCAAAGATTCCGAAGGTCGGACATGACGAGACGATCAGCTACGAAAAAATCGATGACGGAGCTAACAGATAGCGGAGTAAGCGTAGTCAGCGACGTGCAGCCTTCCATAAACAAGGACGTTCGTCTGATGCCTCGGTTTAAAGAAATGGACAAGAAGATTGATTTAAAGCATAGTAGTCGCCATGGCAAGAGATACGGCTCGCGTAGCGGGTCCTTGGAGAGGCCAAACAGAGAAACATGGAGTATGGGAGTTCCTGCTCAACCATTCGTTGCTGATCCGGGAATGCCACCTCTGACACCACCTCACACGGTGAATAGGAGCTGTTCTTTTCCCTCTTTAGATTACGAAGAACCGAATATGTTACGAATAACTATGTCACAGGTTATACAATTAGAGGAGACTTGTAGAAGACTAATGGAAGAAAACAAGATGCGCGCTAGTTGCAAGCGACACCTCAATGTTTCGAAACAGACGTACGAGTTCGCGTCGCAGTGTCAACCGTACGTCCAATCCAACCAGTCTACTTTGAGGAAACCGAAGCAGGACGACTTCACCACTGTTGTGTTCAGTTTCTGTGACGAGCAATTCCCTTACAGGACCAAAATTCCTGGTCACTACGTCACGTTGAAGCAGTTCAAGGAGTACCTTCCGAAGAAAGGGAGCTATCGGTAATATATTGTTACTTATCGACAGTCTAAATAATTCCGTGTATTTTAATTATCTTTTTTTAAATTATAGATACTTTTTCAAAACGGAATGCGAAGACTTAGATATGAAAGTTATTCAAGAGGAGATAACGGATGATGCCGAGGTTCTGCCACTGTGGGAAGGCAAAGTGATGGCGCAAGTTAAGGCGCTTGAGTAATAGACTGAATAAAAAAAAAACGAAACGAAGCGCGAATTGCGCGTATTCTGACCAAGTGCCGCAATAAATATTATTTAAGTAATCCGCCACTAAGTCGGCGCTCGGTATTTATACATATATACATATTAACGCTTGTCATGCGGCCTCTTTCTCATAATTGCCTAAGAAAAGTAGTTTTTATCGATGAAAAAGATAAAATATCGAGTCGAGCAATATTGTTTCGCGCGTAAACGTTGCGGAAAAGCAAGAAAAAAAAAACGGCCTCACATCGGGTTCTGTCGATCGAATGTCCTCGAAGAAATCTTTTGTAGGTTTGTTCACATCATAAGTGCGGTAACTTTCATTGAATTTCTTTCCGCTCAAATATTTTTCAGTAAAATTTAGTTAGAAGTGTTACTTTTATTATCGATCATGCTAAAGTTTTGAATATGACTCTCTTCAATCATATTCATTCTTGAAGAATATTTTATCATATTGGACGTCTTTATCTGAAAATAGAGGTGTCAAAAAGGAGCCAAAACGTAATATATTATGTTCATCGCTAAACAAAATCTCTATCTAACTTATTTTTGCGCTCCAATAATCACGCTTAACTTATTCGCTGTTTCTTTTTTACCAATTGTTGAATACAATGTATTTGTATATCAGCAAAAGAGGGGCCGTCTATATATGATAAGCAAATTTTTGACCATTTTTACCCCCCTCCCCCATCCCCATGTAAGCAAGCGTAAGGATTTTGGAGACCTCCCCTATAATTACGTAAGATTTTTGCGCACGTCGATGTCCAAGATTAAAAAAATTTTCAAGGCAGAGTTACACGATTCTTTCAATATTATTATACGAACGATATAATTACATTGAAAAAACTTCAGACAAAAGTCTTACGTAAGAATATATGCGACTCCCTCCCCTCCCCCATGTAAGCATTCGTAAGAATTTGTCTGACTCCTTCCCCAATTATATGCTTACATAATATATGGACGGTCCCTTAGCTCTTGCACTGTATTTGCGTTCCTTAATAATACTGAGAACACTCACACTTGTGTTCGCTTAAAGCAGTAAAGAATACAGTAACGATTTATTCTCTGATAAAGGCTTTAGCACAAAGATGGTCATAATTGAGTAAAACGTGAGTCGTAGTCGTGGGTCAACGAACAATGTTTTGGTCAACCTACAACTACGACTTACGTTCCACGACTCAGTTACGGTTATCTTCGTGCTTAGGCCCTAAGGATGATTACAACAAATATTACATTGGGCACAACAGTGATTGTAGAGAAGAAATGGTTAATGCGCACGAATCGAAAAGCTCTGTCTTAGTTTGCAGACTGACTTACGCTCGATATCGCTGTAGCGAGAAGACTGAATCAGTTCGGTGATTCTCTATTATTTCAGATTCGCTTTTCGAAAATGCGATTTTTTCTTTCCTCGTGATCGCGAGATCACTAGAACCAACGTCCGATTGACGGCGACAATGCAATGGACGCGGAATCTTTGATGATGAGAGATAGGGATTAGAAACCTCGAGCGCGAGATCATATCACTGAAAAAAATGCATGTAATTGTATATGGAAATTACATGTTTATGACTGAAAAATCACCTAAATATAATTGGAAATTTACAATTTCCAGTAAATTTTCAATCATATTTAAATAATTTAGATAATTTTCCAGTCATAAACATGTAAAATTACATGCATTTTTTTCAGTGAAGCGCCGGACTTGCTTTTCCAATCCGCCGCGGAATCGCCAATACGTTTAAGGGGATCCTAAAGCCGCCTATATTACCGACTAAATCGTAATTTTTTGTATAAATGTAAGAAATTTAGAGGAAATAGGCACAACAGAGAAGCTATCAGCGTCAGGACAGTGTTGTGGCTCAGTGGCAGGACGGAAGTCTACCATCACGACTAGGCCTCGATGCTAGGTTCAAATCTCGAAGCGCGTTGATATTTTTCTTGTGTTGTCGCTTATTTCTTACACAAATTTTCTCTTTCACAGATTCGAAAATTCTTTTCCAGGATTAAAGTATATACATTAATACGTGTTTGTGAGGTGGAATTATACTGGTGGATAGCTTCTCTGTTGTGCCTATTTTCTCTAAATTTCTTACATTTATACAAAAAATTACGATTTAGTCGGTAATACAGGCGGCTTTAGGATCCCCTTAACCCTGGATCTACAATAGAATTTTAAGTCTTAAGCCATAAGAAATGGGCGAATCACAATCGATTATTCTCCTCGGATTCGACTGTAATTGGTCAATTTCTTACAGCTTAAGTCTTAAAACACCTATTGTAGATCCGGACTAAGGAGATCCTAAAGTGAAGCCCGAACTCCGATGAGATCGCTGTTTTACCGGTAAAATGCGACACATCGACATTATATACTACTACATTAATATCGCATTGACGCACTCACACATACGTACAAATTTTCTAACTAACTAATCTTTCGTATTAAGCATCTAAACCTAATTCTAAATACTCAACATTGATTGTTCGCATAATCTCTAGTCCAAACCAAGATTGTTTTATACGTACAAAGTATAAAACTCGTATATAAAACAAACATATTACGAGTCGACGTTAAAAGTCGGTAACAAAACTGTAATTTTCCAACTTTTTTTCGTTTTTGGCATAAAGTCGATCGGTATGGACTACATTATCGTTTATACTTTAATTATGGAGAAGAATTTTTTAATACGTAAACGTAGTTAGAAAAATACTTTGGAAAAATTGATAAAACAAATTCACTTTAGGATCCCCTTAATGCGAACTCGAATGCTTGTCGAGTATTTTTCTGTCGGGCCCAACCTTTTGACGTATACGCATAATTCCCCCCCCCCCCCCCGTTGAGAGTATAATGATCAAGTGCATATTTTACTTTGAAAAGTTAATGATCGAATGCATAATCTATTTCGAATGTAATGATCGATTTCTTCATGAATCCCATGACTACTTTAACGTATTCGCATCGTATATTCATGACAGCGCTTAGGGTAACTCCTGAGTCACGTTTCGTTTATCGTAAGCATTGTATTTTGTGATTGAATTTGTTCGTTCACGTGGGTTCATGTCGGTGCATTCGCATCGCATATCCGTGACAAGGGCTTAGGGAGCCCCTGAGTCTCGCTTTTAACGTTAGTTATGATACGCTTATTTGATCGGACAAAGAAGCCTCGTTGGCCTCTATTCTCCGCTCATTGTCTTAATGGTGGCGATTCAAGATACGCCGTTCTCGCTTGGATGTAGCGTCGTAATTTTGTTAGCATCCATTGCGTGCAAGGTAACCCTTTGTTTTTTACGAGTACCGTTCCAACCTCGAATTTGGGTCCATCCTTATTCCACTTGCTCCGTTTTGAAGCTCGTTTAGATACACTCTATATGTCAACGGGCCCAGAAGTCTTGTCTGACTTTGGTAATATGTTGCCACGTGGACAGTCGATTGGCTGGAATAGAAGAGATGTTACCCTTAGGAAGGGCCGTTAGAGGTCTGCCAATGACTACATTTACACGGCACCCTTAATCGGGTTTAATAACATCCGTAATTATGAAACTGTCTAATCACAGTCGTTCCATTCGAGGAACAACTATGATTGGCCAATTTTATAACTATGGATATTATTAAACTCAATTAAGGGTGCCCTATAGCAGAGGTTAATGAGATAATGAGCGAGCGTCAGTGCCAATAGATCGTTCAGATGAGAGCGCCGTGATCGGCGCTAGAATTTAGAGTGCCATCGACTTCGGCTATGAATGTATTGAGTTTCTCAAACGTGAATAAGAAGTCTCCTACGACGCATTTAATGTGATGTTGAAAAAGCTTCACTGTTAACTCCCACAAGCCACTAAAGTGTGAGGCGGCGGGTGGTATGAAATGCTAATGGACGCTCGCTTACGAATTTGTTTATGAGAAACGGAAAGATAAAGGGCATACCACGAACGCAAGATGTTTTTTTAGCGAAGTTTATCTTAAATTCAATACATATAATCGAGTTACACAATTGTTAGACGTTTCGGCCTTAAATTAGGCCATCTTCAGTATTTTGTTTATGAGGTTCTGATGTCGCCGAGAGTTAAATAGAGAGCACATTTCCTTTAATTGATTGTGTGCTCCTACAAAATTGGTTCCATTGTCGAAATAAACGTGTTCTGGTAAGCCTCGTCTTGCAATATAAATCTTTGTAGTGTCGCGAGAAATCCTTCGGAAGATAAATCGCTTACTAATTCGAGATGAATGGCCTTTATTGACTTGCATATGAACAAGCACACGCCTTACTTTTCGTTCGGTTACGGTGTTTTCTTTCTTTAATGAAAAAGGATTCGCAAAAATCTACACTTGTGCTGACGATAACGGCGCTATCTCTTGCACACTCATTGGAGGGAGGTTACCCATTTTATATTCAACTGAGTTGGCCTTAAAACGGAAGCAGCGGATGCCCGGATAACCTTTGATTCCGACCGTTAACTAACCAGAATTTTTGCCGAAGACTATACAATGTAGTTTGAACTCCCGCATGATATTGGATCTCGTATCTTTCTCGGATAATGTTATCTGTCAAGGTATGCCTACTTGGGAGCAGAATCGAATGCTTCTGAGAAAATGTTAACTGCACTCAGAGAAAAAAGTCGTATCAGTAACTATAAATTTGTAGTGAAATAGCGCCTCAACTATATACATATTAAATTCTAGTAAGAATATTAGATTAAGTGAATTAAGAAAATATGGTACATTAATCATATAAACAATTTATAAATGGTTAATATTACTATATTTTTTTATTTCACTTAATTTACTTATTGTTGTTATTAAAGCTTTATAATACATAGTTACAAATTTGTGTATGCATTTCTTATTTATTTTTGTCTTCCAAGTTTGAAACCAACGCTGCGCCTTTTATTGTAAGCTGAGTGGTTTCCTTCTTAGGAGAAACTGAGCTCCGCGTTACGTCCCTCTGGTGACAAAGCTGCGTACTACTCGTACTGAGCGACCCTTTAAAAATTTTTGTCTAAACTAGAAAAATGTAATTGTTATATCTATTTACATGAAGTCCAAGTAACTACTCAATGTAGTTGAGTCACTATTTCACTACCAATTAATAGTGCATACAATTTGTTACCGTGACTATATTTTTACAATATTCAGCACTACTTTAGTTTCTATTACTTTGTAAAACTAGTTACAGATACTTCAATTGCAAAAGTTGCCAAATTTGTAGTTGCTGGAACTATTTCGTTTTCTCTCAGTGTGTGACTACGTTTACACGGCCCGATTTACGCCGAAGTTATAACATCGATGTTATGGAACTAGCCAATCATAGCTATTCTTCTAAAGAATGGAATGACTGTGATTGACCAATTTCGTAACATCGATGTTATAATTTCGGCGTAAATCGAACCGTGTAAACGTAGTCTGTGACGATTGAAGCCTTCCACTTACCCGAAGCAACCCGTTTTCATCTACGAAAGGATTCAAATTAGCGATCCTACTTCTACCTGACAACTCCTTGCCCTTCTTTAAAATTTTAATTTCGTTCGAAAATCGTGCCGATTGAAGAAGTTTTAGAATTTGTATTTCAGCCTCATTGATTTCGGTTGTGCCAATAAGCGGTAATTCGGAACAATTTAGAGTACGAGGAGTATCTTTCTAATATCTCGAAATCGTCAAATGTCGTTATCATGCACGTGCTTGCCTTTAACTCAGGCACTCATTACGTATCAGTTTCAACTGAAACCATATATAGCTCTTCTTCACAAATATTAATTTTATGTGTAATTATTGCTTCAATAATTAAATTATGATGTTTATAAAGAAGTATATTCTTTAGCCAAAATTGATACACAACCGAAATTTCGGTTTTCGATTTTAGCCGAAATTTAATTATTGTTTCAATAAATTATGATATTTATGAAGAAAAAGTATATGATATATGGGTATATGTCTATGCATGGCTTTTATAGGATTCCTATTTTTTAATTTTGGTTTCGGTTTTGGTTGAAATTAACACATAGTGTTTCGGTTCAGTTTCGGCAAAAGTTTCGATCGGACTCTAGTTTTAAGTAAATGCGGCTGCATCCTCAATCAATGCAGTACGATCGTTGAATCGCATCAGAAGATAACCTTGCTGGGCGTAATACCTAACGCGTCTTTCGCTTCGCGACATAACCGCGCTAACAATAACGCGCCGCAGAGTTCTGCCGTGGTATCGTTATTATTTTTAATGGCGCTACTTGCAATTTCGCGCACATCAACTTCGTGACTATTTTTCCGCATTTCCCGGTCGAACGTACATAGAAGCAGGTGCCATAATCGATATAGCTGGCAGCATGTTAAAACGACAGACTTTTTATTAATTATAAGTACGGAATCAAAACCCATACATCTGTTTCGGGTTTCGGAAACTCGTCTCTAACGTCACCTCCCATTTGTCTATCGTGTATTTCGGCAATTTCCTTCCCGGAATATGTACAACCATTATTCTGGTAAGGATGATTATAAATACTACACTGGATACAACAGTGATCGCAGAGAAAAAATGGTCGACGCGCTCAGATCGACAAACTCGGTTGCGAGTAGACTGGATCGGTCGGCGATTCTCCACCATCTCGGATTCACTTTCCGAAAATGCCCGATTTTTGCTTTCCTCGCGACCCTAGAACCGACATCCGATTGATGGCGACAATGCAATGACGCGGAACCTTTGATGATGAGAGATTAAGAACCTCGAAAGAGACATCATTAAGCGGAACCTCTCTCTGTCCCCGAAGAGGTTTAATGCTGGATCGCAAGATCAAATCAACGCATGGTACTGTGACCCAATAATAGGATCGGAAATCCATACAAGGGAATTTAAGAAGAAGAAACACGAGATCACAGGCGCCGGACTTGATGCGAACTCGCTTGTCGGGTATTTTTGTGTCGGGCCCTTTTGACGCTTTTTAATCATATTGTTATCGCATTGTTTCTAGTCTAATAAGGTAGACACTGTAGATGCCATTTCATGAGACACTGTAAACTATCAGCATGGTCATGTGTCAATATTTGACATTTAGCATCTGATACTGCATTATTTCAATGTATTTTTCATTGTCCAGCATCAATTTTGATCGCAGCCTATTTTGACGCTAAAAATGAGCGTCAGCATGAAAAGGTACCTAATGTGAAAATTATTTGAGCGGAAGTCAGAGCAAGATCAGAGTCGTACTCGTCTCATTTTTTTCATTTCAGACTTTATCATATTTATATTTTTACAATTATTTAGGGCAGAGAAAGAAAAGAGGAAAACAGCAATTCTTTAGAATTGATATTAGTTTGTCAACGAATTTACACGACGGACAGTTCGCGCGACAGCACTTTATTGTACATAATTAGCATGTAACGATTTTGATGACAATGCTACGCGAGTAGCTATTTTGTCGGTACGAGTTTTGCCAGATGGAATTATTGTTATAATTTTGCCTGGCGCAATATCGCATTCACGGAGTAGTTTGGGCAAGAACGACAACGTCGAAATATCGAAAACATTGTGACCGACTAAACAATTTCTTCCTCTCGAAAACTTCCCATAGTTCTCCAAACGACTGTACAAAGGTTCGCGTAGTTGATCGCCTTAGTAAGGTCTGCGTAGGCACTAGACTTACATAGAAGACGATAATTATTATACAAACTAGCATCTAAGGAAATATATTACGTATATTTCATGTAAATACAAGACAAGATGTCGTCTCGTACATAATATATGTAATATATTTTACGTATATGCGCGGTACGCGAAATTGCGAAAAAAAATTGTGAATCATGTTTTTTTCTCCGTTGTGCCAGTACCGTTACCGTTGCATCATCGTCATCCATTCAATATTGTGAAATAAATTCACCGAGCGTAGCCTAATAACGGAGCGATATTTATAGTATGTGTTGACGCGCAGTTGGCATCGGGACGAGAAAGCCGGTGGAGAAAGGAAGATCATTAGCGTTTAGATTGTAATAATAACGTTTGTATCAGGTGCGGAAATATGTGCCTTTTTAGTGCAGTAAGATCGAAATAAGTCTAAGAAAGAAGGTTAAGAAATATTTATAAATTATAGTACAGGGGCCCAATCCTGATAGGAAAAACATTGTGTCCGATATTAAATCTCGTCAAAATTGTATTCACGCCGATTTATCGCTGAGAATATCAAGTTTTATTTTTTTTTTTTTTTTTTTTTTTTTTTTTTTTTTTTTTTTTTTTTTAGATTTTCATCTATCGAAATAGATCGAGATAGAAAAAGATACTGTATAAAAAATTTGATCTTTTATTGAAGAAAAAAAGGATAAAACTTGAGACTGAAGGGATTAAATTATAACACAATTGTTACATTGAACAATGTAAATTATTATATTCTGCGAAAAATGCCGGATGGATCTTGATCGATGGTTCGACTTTACAATTTGCCGAGGCCCGCTTCCTACACGTGATTCCCGCGAAAAAATTGATAAAAAAATATATAGAGAAACGATAAGCATACCGCGTTTATTCAAAACTCGCACCTTCGCAAATTCTTAATATGGAGAGGTTCACACTGACATGTGCTATTGATGACAATTTATAATTGTACGTAATTGAACATTATGAATTATATCACGAACGTTACAAGTGTTCCTGTACCTAATTAATTAATGACGATTATTATTGTATATCAAAAATATTGAGAATAATAACGCGATTTTCACTGGATCAAATGAATCGCATTGTCCAAAATTTTATCCTGGAATCCTGCACTTCCATCGAAAAACATGGATGCTTGTGATAATATGAATCAGTAAATCATATAAAAAAAACTTCCTTATTCCTCTTTAAAAAATGCAAGAATCACATGATTTCAGACTTTCTTCATAATTCGATATACCGCCGCAGTTATAATACAAAATTTCTAATTTAAAGAAATTCGTGTAGGTTAATATTATTTACAATTAGATACGATTTTCTTAAGAGTATTTTAACACTATACAAAGTTTAATACTATACTGAGTTTTCCGAAATTGTGGAAATCCCACAATAATTTTGGTAAAAACAAAGATATCAGAAAACGGTAAAAATACATATTTAAAAGCTTTTGGCATCGGTGCTGTTCAATCAACATTTCAAGATGCACGAGGGTTGAGAAGGGTGACGAAAATGTCAAGAACATGAAATTTCCACCTTTGAACGATCGCCCTTTTAAATGGAATCGTTCATAGCGACTTAAAATTGTCAGTGTTTTGATTACCATCAAAGGCCTTTCAGATAAGTCCCCACTTGATCTCTAGTGCCATTTTCATCACCTCTTCCGCCCTTGCACACTTGTGGATAGCGGTTGACCAATACTCATACCAAAAAGTAGTTTTTTCGAAACATGTATTTCACCATTTTCTGATATCTTCGTTTTTACAAAAATTATATATATTACGGGATTCCCACACTTTTGGGAAACTCTATATATACACTTTCTCTTCTCTCTGTTATAAATTCATCTTTTATCGAGAGTATTTCACAAAGTTTGTTCTGTTCATTTGTTCTATTCCGTTTTTCTTTAAAAAAAAAACTTTACATAAATTATGGTCCGAGAATACGTATATTTCTAAACGTAAATATTTCTTACGTAAATATACGTAAAAGTATAATAAAAATATTGAGCATTTTTTTAGGAAGATACACTGAACTAAAACTGTACGTAAATACAACAAAATATTCATTGAATTATGAAAAAATAATAAAATTTGGTCCAATAAATTCTCATCATGATTTAGGTTACAAAACTATTACTAGAATTCATTGCAAAGATGAATATATAATTATATAAATGAATTCAGTTATCGTATCAATGAATTAATTACATTAAGTCGGACATTAATTAACGATCATTTATTGGACCAAAAATGACTAAAATTTTTTTCAGTGTATCGAGGAAGAAAAATGCAGTTCTTGTAAACAGTAAAAAGTTTATGCGAATATTTATGGTCGAATGGTAAATCGTCCATGCATGTACGCATAAGCACAAATAGCAATGTGGTGCGATAATATCATGAACACAATATTTTTTTCCGTATTAGCGTTCGTAAATTCGAGACTGACGATGAGAATCGTTTGAATGGTAGAAAGGAATCACAAATCCTCCATCGTTAACCATTAGTTATGATAACTACAACTTGAAAGATCACTGTGATGGTAGATAAGCAGGATTGTATGGAGCCTGTTTAGCATACGCCTCGTCGGTGTATGGTGGGGGTTGCGGCATTGCTAAAAAATTAAGTAAAAATAATTGTCTATTCGAGTGAATGAAGAGCTTACTACATTTCTCTTCAACGTTAAAATATCAAAATTTAAAATACTTCCAAAAAGAATCAACTCTAAAATATATGAAAATTAAAAAAATATTTTTTTTATAGATCTTCATATAATTAGATATGTTAGATGTTAACTGTTTGAACGTAAAAATCTAAAATGTATATATAGAAATTTTGATCAAGTACCTGTCGAGCCCATTGGATATGGTGGAACATAATTTTGAGTAGGTTGGCTAGTATAGCTTGTTGGAATATTTTGAGTAGGTTGGCTAGTATAGCCTGGTGGAATATTTGCCGGGGACTGAATTACTTGCACAACAGGTGTCTGAATGTCTGCAACAAATACTTGTGTAACGGATACATAAAGATCCCAAGTGTATCTTAAGTTTGTCTCAGAGACAGTGAGCAAATTAGCAACAAGACTAAAATGTAAAAAAATCAGGACAAAAAACGGAATGTAATAACCTATAATATAAAATTTTTTTAACAGATTTTAAGTTTAAGATAATATTTAATTGATAAATTGATAGAAATTTTTTTTAATTTTATTTTTATTAAATAACTTGACATTCGATTAAAATAAAACGATAAATTATGATGTATTGGTGATAAAATCGGATTGTACACAATTTTTAATATTTTATGAAAAAATTTATATATTTAAGCTTCTATAAGTAAAATACATAAAATATGTTGACCATAAAATTTAATTACTATAATAAAATCGAGTAACTATAATATTCGTAGGGGCGAATCTAATGTTAAGCTTAATGTCATATATGCACATGTGGAAGGAATGTTTATTTGAACACATTTCATGTAATGCACTTGGAAAGTGCATTAATAAAAAAGGATTAAAATTATAAATCAATCTACATACAAAGTGTTCCATCTACATATTTGCTTAGTGATAGTTAATATCAATTCTCATATATATGTATATATATATATGTATATAGCTGCTCTTGATAATATAAAAAAATAGCAATCTATAAATTAAAAACTATATCATATTTTTATCACACATAATTTGGAACATTTCATATGTACATTTTAATGAGGTATGCTTAACGTTAAATGAGACATCGTTAAACTAACACAAAAATATCAAAACGCGATTTATATAAAAATAAACAGTAACATAACACAGTATTTCATACGTACTATTGTACGTTATACGCGAGGTTACACATTTCAGACTTATTAGTTTCCACTGTGCAGGTTATCTTATATCTATAATTGGAAGACTAAATTCTCCTTATAAGAATATAGCAATTAGATAAGAATTTAAACTTAGATTTTCTACAAAAACACTCTGCTATTAATGTAATATTGTAAAAAAATATATACGAGTATTGGTATAACGCTGTTGGAAGGCAATGGTAATGAATCAGGAGTATCATTGCCATGAGATCTCTTTAAATTAGACCGTTCAGAAGCAACATAAGCTAAAAGTTGCATATATCTGAGAATATATGGAAAAAGTTATATTACGTTTCTGCTAAAAGATTGACAATAAGATTGAAGAGATAATGCTGATTTTTATAAGGAGAAAATACACTTTCGCAACAGATATATAGTAAAGTATACAAATACATATGTTCCTCATGAGAATTAGTTCAATGTCAGATTATATATAGAAAGCAGAATATAAACTAAAAATTTATCAAATATTGGCATACAAATGCTCTTCGTAGGAGGAATGTTGTGTTGGAATGGTATTATGCCAAGCCTGGTCCTAAAAAGAATGATGACTCTGTGTTACTTGCCAATTCAGAATTCATCAATACATATATTTAATTTTATTGAAAAATTTATCTAATGTTCGTGATTTTTATCGCGTAAGTGTTTGTGGCGTTAAATACTTTAGAAAAATGCTTCTCTAAAGATAATTGTCGCTGTCTCTAACACAAACTAGAATTCATTGAAAAATCCATCTATTTGTATTTGTTCCACAGATAACGAAAATATTAAAAGTTGATTTATTTAATATGGAAAAATATGTGTGATAACTCAATATTAATGCACGAAAATTTAAGAAAGAAGACGTACTTCCATAGGTAGTGCCTTGACGACGGCGATACCAGGGACAGCAGCTGCAGCAGAAGCAAGATATGCAGCATGATAATATAGCAATAATTCCAACTCCTGCAATTATTAAAGGAAGGAAGACACCGACTCTGTAAAACAATAATATCCTTATTAAAGAAATATCATGTATTATCTTTTGTTAAGTAAATTGCTATTCTAAGTGATTCTATTATTTACCATGTTATTTTACACTTAAAATTATGTAAAAGATTGCGCGTCATGTAAAATTAACGTATTACATATTATTTATTTAAACTGTATGTTACAAATGATTATGTTTTACCCAGTTTTCTGTACAAATGTTTCGAGATCGCAGCAATAAGACTTTCTAGCCTCCACATCGATACAGCACCAACTTTCGTCCTTTTTGTCGAAAAATCTTGGGCATGTAGCAGTCCAGTGGTCGAATAAATTCCTTTCCAAAATTTCAAAATTACATTCTACTCCTAAAAAGTAAATAAAAACATTTCGTAACATGCACTAAAAATCTTTTAAGTACTAACTGTTAAAAAAATTAAGGATTAAATTAATAACGAAATTAATAACGTTATTCTCAAAACAATTCTGGATTTCAATTCAATACTACCTTAATCTTATCTTAATAATAATAAATAATTATGCCCTATTTACGAACTATAGGAATATTTGGCTGCAAGAACTACGGTCAAAGAATTTCTAAACTCGCTAGCGTACCAGCCGTTCAGCGGGAAACGTACGGTTGCGATTCATGATTTACATTTGTATAATGTAAATACTAAACTATGTGAAGGAGATTAGAGATCTACGATGACGCATTGTATCTTTAGAAAAAGGAGCTCGTCGAGTTTCGTTCGTTGATGATCCAAGAAGTTATTGCTTTGAATCCATTTTTACTGCCTCGTAAATTTCAAATCTTTTTTAATAATTTCTTCTATTTGTTCATTACTTTTCTAAATTTTTTCAATAATTTTTTTTTCTTTGACAATAAGCTTTTTTGTCTCGTACCAAACAATGGTACAAAGCGAAAAATGGTTAAAGTTAATAAAATAATCTAAATTAAAATATGTAATTTATAAAAATACTGATGTCTAATTTTTTACAATTCTGTTTCCTATCTTTTCGCGTACAAATATTTTTAATAAAAAAGACTGGAATAGAGTTTGTGGTATGACATTATTGAATTCCGCGTATATTAAATGTAATCGATCGCTGTGCGTGCACGCACTTGCACGCGGAAAATATACGAGCGTAAAAAAGAATCAAGGAAATCTCTGTAAATCATAACCAATACGCACTGATCTTAATTAATTATTGCTAATACTGTCAATTATAGACTAGAGTTTAGAGCACTTATTACGACAGGAATAGATCGACTGAATATAGTAATCTCGATATTATCAAATACACACACAATGTTCTCGATGACGTTCAAACAGATCATAACAGATCAAACAGTCAATTGTCAGGCAATATTGATTTTTACAAGAAGCCGAGATCGATAATTGACAAAATTAAACTACAACAATTAAAAAACAGCGCGTCTCATTAACAGGAGTCTGTGGTACGAAACGTTTGCCGTCTATGTAAATAAATTTTTCGTTTATCTTATCTCACTTCCTTGAATTCCGCCTAAAGAGCGATTATTTCTATTTATAGTACATCATGGCATTCATAATATTACATATATAAAGTATTACTATATATTTTTGAAGCGTAAAGGAAAATTACAACAGATCGCATTAAAAAGATATATAAATGGAAATTAAAAATGAAATATGGTATAAGGTTCATATAAATAAAAAAATCAAAATTAATATAAGGAGCTTTTGAACTTAGCAGGATGTGTTTTTGTGCTAATGAATAATTAACAGAAAATTTTAAATCGTGTTTTTTGCGACATCCACAGAGATCCCAACAAATTCAATTCCAAGCTAGTGGCTACATTTACACCGTCCGCAACCTATATGGATAGATGTCTTTGTTTAACATACAAGATAAACAATGACATCTATTGTATAGGCCTAAATGCACGGTGTAAACGTAGCCAATAAGCCAATGTTTAAAAATCTTATCAATTTCTTCTTCGTCTTAACATAGCGATAGCTATAGCGTCTTGCTAAGCGCTCTTGCGAGAGATCAGATTTCGCGATATTCGCAGAAATGAATATGATATTACGCACTTATCTCAAATTAATGTGTATACAGGGTGTCCCATAACTCACTTGACAACGCTCGTGGGCAGGTAGAGCGGACTAAACTGAGTCGAAAAGTCCTCTACTATTTTGTAATTTTCGCAATAGTTAACAAGATATTAATTACTAAAAATTGCCGAATATTGGTCTTCAATAATTTTTTTCTCAAATACTATCAATTTTACAAAAAAACTGCAAGAGACAAAAATTGTTTATTTTCTTCTCATAGAACTCTAAGAATTTTTTCAGAATTTTTTATTAACTTTTTAGTACTGCATTTTTTTTATTGGCAACCAACATGAGAAAATGTGGTATTAAAAAATTCTGAAAAAATTCTCAGAACTTTATGAGAAGAAAATAAACAATTTTTGTCTCTTGCTGTTTTTCTGTAAAGTTGATAGTATTTGAGTAAAAAATTATTTGAGAAATAGTATGCAGCGATTTTTAGTAATTAATATCTTGTTAACTAATGCGAAAATTGCAAAATGGTAGAGGACTTTTCGACTTAGTTTAGTCTGTTCTATCTACACACGAGCGTTTTGTCAAAATTTAACGGACAACCTGTAGATGTGCACTTACAAAAGCTCGTGCAAGCATACTTTATTAAATTGCCATATACGTGCCAACAGAATTTTTTCAGAATTTTTTATCAACTTTCATTTTCTTATTTTTACCATCATGAAAATCCGGTATTAAAAAATTCTGAAAAAATTCTGAAAAAATTCTCAGAACTTTATGAGAAGAAAATAAACAATTTTTGTCTCTTGCAGTTTTTTTTGTAAAATTGATAGTACTTGAGAAAAAAATTATTGAAAACCAATATTCGACAATTTTTAATAATTAATATCTTGTTAACTATTGCGAAAATTACAAAATAGTAGAGGACTTTTCAACTCAGTTTAGTCCGCTCTACCTGCCCACGAGCGTTGTCAAGTGAGTTATGGGACACCCTGTATACATTCATAGTATTTTGTTTCATTAATGTGAAATTAGCGAGTATAATATTAAATATATAGAAACACAATATTTGTCTAATTTAACAGATTATAAAATTATGCCTAAAGAACAAAGTGCTATAAATTCAGTGTGAAGTTTTCTCTCTCTAACGTTCGAGCAATTAATTTAATCGATAATTAACTTACCAAATAGTGTATCTGTATTATTTTATTATCATGGATAGAATTATATTATTTTTAATTAGTTTAATAGAGAAAAGATTAAGAATAACGAATTACATGGCCATAAAAATTTTGCTAAGCATTCTGCCGATTAAGCAGTTTGATCGAAGTTGTGGCAGACTAGTCGATCAAGAAAAAAATGCCAAATTTTCGATCACGTGACATAAAACAAACTTCTTAGCTTCAGCTTCAACGAAAAACTTATCATTCCATTACGATAGAAACAAGAAATGAGTCTCAGACAACTATGTAGAAAAATCGTGTTATCGTATTTCTTAATGCGTTTGAAAAACAAGATAAAAAGTAAGTATAACTATCGATTGTTCAGGTATGCACTATGCAACGCTGTAAAAACGTAATACACAATCAAAAGAGTGAATCTTCGATCATACGCAGAGTATCATTAATCATTCCTTCATAAACGTATGCCCTATATATGATAAGTGCCTAAACGCTTGGATTGATGTATTAACGATCCTATATGTGTACATACATGTGTGTACACACGTTCCCTCAATAAAATCGCGTTTGATTATTTTGCTGAACGACCTCGTTTTCTTACCATAAACGTATCCCGCGTGAAGACAAATCAGCAGCAACGCTACTTCGAGACGTGACATTTTGATGCTGCTTCTCTCAATGATTTCACTACTTGCAGACGCCGCTCGGTGGTTGAGCAATGTGCTTGGCTGTGATACACTACGAGTCTAGTCTAGTGACGAATCTCAGGCAACTACCTGCTAACCGCGCGGACTCACGACACCACCTGCAGTATTCTGGTTCTATTGTATGGACGTGAGTCATATCAACAACTGTGAGAAGGGGCTTTATAGTCCGAGGCTCGATCGCTCGGAGATCAAAAAGAGGGGTACGAATGCGCCGCATTGGTTGGATTCTAAAAAACAATCGAGAAAAGAATCTGATGGACAGATTCAAAAGTAACGTTAATCGTAAACAATATCCGATTGGTCGAGTGGCTGCCTCATTTTCCGAAAAATTTTTAAAACTATATTATTCCTTTTAAATAATGTGTTTTTAGATACTTAAAAGTTGTGTTACAGATTGAGTGAGAAATATAATTACGGATTAAATGAGAATTAAAAATATTAATTATATATATATATATACATATAAGCGTTCTATAAATTGATTCTAGGGAAGTAAAATCTTGCATGGTTGAATATCCCAGAATATGTCGCCTAGTTATATCGCTAGTGTCGCGAATGGCGCCAAAAATGAAAACAGAACTCAAACTCGCGAATACGAAATAGATGGAAGTATCGTTGTTGCTGTTTAAAAAATTAATTTTAAATCAGTGATAATAAAATCGTCGTAATAATTTATTACAAAAAATACTTTCGATACATAAAAAATGTCCATTGTATCACTTTTTGTCCACATTTTATATTTGGCTACTAAGGGCCACTGTCACCAAGCTCAGTTGATCTAACTAGGCCAGTTAGTCCATCGGAATTGACCAATCGCATTTGTCATTTTGTTTGAAGAATTGACAGATTGGTCAATTCCGATGGATTAATTGGCCCAGTTAAGTTAACTGAGCTTGGTGACAATGGCCCTAAAGAAATCATTGTTAAAAAATGCATCTCTATAAAGATGATAAAATGCCCAAAAACACGATGTATAATAATTAATGTAATATAACAAGAATAATAAATATATAATATAAATAATATAAATCAATGTAAACCCATATACAAAAGCATGAGAAATAATTTCAACGATAAATGCAAAAAATAATACAAATGCATTAACTAAACCATCAATGTCCCGAATCTTCGTTAATGAGATCGCTGATGATGTGTCCCATGTCCATGTCATCCTTCAACACAAATGAATGTTGAAAGCCACGCTGACATAATTGAGCATTCAGGCCAGGATGTTTTGATACTATATCTTTATAATATTTCACCGGAGCCCAACCGTCACTGGCGCCGTAATACAACCAGAGTTTATCAGCATGTTTTGATATAGTTTCGTGATCAGCTTCTTTGATACATTTCATCTCTTCCTTGCCAAGATTAATTATTTTACTCAAGGCTCTCGGATCCAGCATTTCTCGAACTGCCCTGATGGATCTATCTGGGATGCCAAAAAACAAACCGAAAGTACGTATCATAAATGTTTGTAGAGTTACTGGAAACATCGTTGTGAAGATCCAAGACAGGAAAATCAAAATTGGTGCCGTACGTGATACCTGAGAAGATAAATATAAAATTATTAGAAATATAATTACTACAATTAGAATAGGAAACAATTGTGTGTCTTGTATGCAGGGCTGGGTAATCATTTAAAATGCCAAATATAAAATACTTAAAAAAA